AGATTTGTCTTTCTAGGGGAAAATGTCAGAGGAATTTTCTTCTCTGGGGAAGCCATGAATCTTTAGGAAGCTTCAAAGTCTTTGGTTTTCCCCACAATAAACTAAGATGGCTGCTCTCTCCCTTGGTGCTTCTTCTGGGGAATCCTGGGACTAAAATAATAAATCCTGCTTTCTTATTAGGATTGAACAAATTCAGTTGGTTTCACATTTCCTGTGAGGAACAAAGTATGAGAAACATTCAACGGTCTTTTCAAGGCTTGAATCATCTGCTTTCTTCTTGAGTCACCTTTCCTCTGAGCATGTACAGAGTGGAAATAAGGCCCCGTCTGTGGGGAAGAGGAGAGGATAGCCTGATTGCTCAGGGATATAAAATATAGAACATAAAAGAATATAAATCTTTGAGAATCTTTCAGATCCAGAGAGTCTCAGCAAGGCGGGCTGGAAGAATTTCCGGAAACACGGATGAGCTGGAGATTGGCGCCCCCTGCTGGTTGGCGGCTTTGCAGTTTCTCCTCTCCATTAGCAAAGGGGGGAAGCAACAGGAATCCCATCAGAAGAAAAGGCTCAAATCCTGTTTAAGCGCCAAACCAGCCAGAAGTTAATCGAACTAGGTTGAACTAAGCCAGCAACAGTCAGAACTGATTCAATTACCTCCCAGACTGTCTAAGCTCCCCTTTACTTTTTCGGCTTCCTTGCGAGACTGACAAACTACAGACCTGCAGCAGGAAACTCTTGACAATGATTAGGAAGGTCTCCCTCTCTTGTACTAAGTACAACAAATGTACCAACAATGATAAATGTAATGGATGACATGTAACACTAATCTTGTGAAAGAAATGACATAGACCGATTGTGAATAACAAAGAAACTTTCTGTGTGAATTTCTGAGCCATCTTTCACTCGGGGCGCTTGATCTGAACCTCTCTCCCAAATGTGAGGCTCTCTGTTTCTGCAGAAATAAACAGCTACCGTGACTTATTGGCTACTCGTGCAGGAAAAACAGAACCCAACTGAGGGTCTGGATCTTTTGCCTCCCTTTCCCAGTTCTGGTTCTGTGTTTCTGCCCATGAAGAAGGCCAGGCCATTAGAGGGACTTTACAATGGCTGGCCAATCTCTGGAAATTGGCCGTCTGCAGGATGAGCCTCACCTTCAGATCCTCTCTTTCTCTCTGGGTTCACAGCAGGCTCAACCTTGTCTGCTTTAAGAAACTGGTTGATTTAGGATGCAGCATCTTGTGCAAATAAGATTCACACACAATACACCCAGAAGGAAAAAATCACCAAGGTTGCAGGTAACCCAATGTGAGAAGGTTATGGAAAGGCACCTCCCGGGTTCATGACTGATGCAGTTACATCCACTGTATGAATTTATCCTTTGTGGGTCTGGAGAATCCCTGGCGAATGAGAGGCTGGGCTGCTTCCTGAGCCAGGATTTTGGGAAGGAGCCAAACACAAGACAGGCGGAAGCAGCTCAGGAGAGCCTTTCCCTGTGGGAATCAGAGGAAGGAGAGGCAGCTGCCTTGGCCAAGCATTATGGGGTCTCTTTCTCCAGGCGCAGCCCTCCACAGGCCTCATCTGGGGAGGCCCTGATCTACCCAGACCCCTCACAGCCTGTCCAGACTGCTTCTTTAGGGATGCCCAGAGTCTATAGTCCAATGTATATAGCCATCCTGGGTGCATTACTCTAATGCACTCTACATGGGGCTGCCCTTGAAGAGCATCTGGAAGGTTTCAGCTGGTACAAAATGTGGTGATGTGGGCAGTTTTATGTACCACAAGAAGGGCAGACATGACACCTCTGCTCCACAAGCTGCAGTGATTGCCAGTTTGCTTTGGAGTCCAATTCAAGGGGCCGTTTTTGACTTTTGAAGCCCTTCGTGGAACGAGACCCCCTCTTCCGATTACATCCATCCACCCCGTCAGCAATAGCAAAAGAGGTATGTTGTGGGTTTGGATGCTAAGGAGTCACATAGACAGGTAGTCCTCAACTTACAACAATTGAGCCCAAAATTTATGTTGCTAAGTGAGGAATTTGTGAAGTGAGTTTTGCCGTATTTCATGACTTCTTGCCAGATTTGTTAAGTGAATCACTGCAGTGGTTAAATTTTTTAACACGTTTGTTAAGTGAATGTGGTTTCCTTATGGACTTTGATTGTCAGAAGGTTGCAAAAGGGAATCACGTGACCCAGGGACACTGCAACTGTCACAAATGGGAGTCAGTTGTCAAGCATCCAAATATAAATCATGTCACCATTGGGATGCTGCAATGGTCGTAAGTGTGAAAAATGGTCATAAGTCACTTTTTTCAGTGCCGTTGTAACTTCAAATAGTCCCTAAGTGAACTGTTGTTAATAGAGGACTACCTGTAGACCCAGGAGATTGGACTTTTCTGCTGAGATCATCATCCTTGATATCCCTCCAGAAGTCTGTGAAAATGTGGTTGTGGGAATAGACTCGGAATCTCAAGGAACTGCCGAACTAGCAACGGGGCTGCATT